TGTAGATTAATTTGTAATATACAAATCTATTACTATTTTCAAATATCTGTCTTTACCCCTCTTTCTTCTGGGAATGCTATTATGCATTCATAGGTAAACTTGACAATGTCCCACAAATCTCTGAGGCTGTTAATTTTCCTCCATTCTTTCTCCTTCTCCTCAGACTGGTAAATTTGAGTGGATTTACCTTCAAGCTTGCTGATTTTTTTCTTGTGACTGCTCAAAAATGGTGTTGAATTCCTCTAGTGAATTTTTCATTTCAGTTATTGCACTTTTCAATTCCAGAATTTCTATTTCGTTCTTTTTAAAATTTTTCTTCATTAATACTCTCAGTTCAGTGAGACATCATCCTAATGGTTTCTTTCATTTCTTTACACATGATTTACTTTAGTTCTCTGAATATATTTAAAATCATTAATTTATAGTCTTTGTGCATTAAGTCTAACATGTGGACTTCTTTGGGGTAATTTCTATTGACAAATTTATTTTCGGGGCATGAGTCATAATTTTTGTTTCTTTAAATGTCTCATAATTTTTTGTAAACTAAGCATTTTAATAATATAATGTGGAAACTCTGAAAATCAAATTAGATTCACTTTCCTTCTAGGTCTTTGTTTTTGCTGTTGTTGTTTACTGATTTTTTCAGAATTAAATTTTTGAAGTCTATTTTTTGTCATATGTGGCTACTGAAGTCTCTGTTTCTTAGAGGTCAGATAACAACTTGACAGAGATTTCCTTAAATACCTATAATAAGCAAGTCCCCCTCTTGCAGAAAGAATCTGTGTGTTAGAGCATACCCAGTGGTTGATAACTCTGCCTTAGTCTTCATTTCCTTTTTAAATGGAGCCTCAACGTCAGATAAAAATGGAAATTTAGAATATTCTCAGAGAGATTTGTTCATTTATTTATTTTTTGACCATGTTCTGTCCCCAGCCCTAGATTCCTAGATTCCTAGATTCACAGGAATATGGCAGAGTTTTTTCAAAGCCCTCTATGAATATCTCATTGCCCTACTTTTGTACAATTTTTAAAAAGTATTAAAAAATTTTTGATGCTTATTTTTGACAAGTACCCTAAGTAAAAGATTATTTGCCCTGGTGTGCTCCAAGTCAGTTCAAATAAAAACAAGCCTAATATATGAGGTCTTCCTGGGAACCATCAGGTGTCTCAAATAATGACAGTTCTCCACAAATAGAAATTTTGAAGGAGTTCCAACCCTGTCCTATCCCCATGAATGTGCACTCTTGTTTGCAATGGTTACACAGAGCTAGAGAAGATAGGAATCAGGGTAAATAACATGCTGCAAAGCATGCCATTCTTTTTCTGGAATAAGCATTCCTGGATTATTGCAAGCCTTTGTTTAACAAAAACTCCAGGATTCTGAAAAGTTAATTCTGATAACATTACCAGTATTCTCATTGCTTTTATGGAGGAAAAGATTCCTAAAGTTCCCTTCTTTACCCTTCCCACTGATGTACTAGTTTTTATTTTTAGGTTTTTTTTTTTTGTGTGTGTGTGTGTGTGTGTGTGAGAGAGAGAGAGAGAGTGAGAGAGAGAGAGAGAGAGAGAGAGAAATGTTTATTTAGGTATACCACTTATAAACAACCTTTCTAAAGTTCCATTTGGAGAACTTTTGCCTTTTATTAGGAGAAAAGTAAACTCTTAATACATTCTATTCATGAATATATTTTATCTTAGCCCTACTTGTTTATTTTATATTTTCTATTATTTTTTTCAATTATTTTTAGATTTTTCTTTATTCAACTCTACTCTAATAGTCTGAAGTTCTCCTTCCTAGTTGCTTTAATATTAGTTACTATAAAGATACATCCCAAAAATATCTGAACTTACATTTTTCTCTCAATATAAAAACTAAATAATATACTAAGTACATAAAATCAGACTCAAGACAATTTTAAAACAAGCAAGAAAAATAAATCATTACAATATACTTCAGTGTCTCTAGTTTGGGAAGAAGACTTGGTGTAACCTGAACAATTACTGCTATTAATCAAGTGGTTAAAATGCACCAAACAAGATAGTACCTTTCATGTGTTGATTAATATTCACAACTCATAAGAAATGTACTATTATGCCCATTTATATATGATTAAATAACTCAGAAAATTTAAATAAAGTGTCCAAAGTCACATAGATTGCAGGTAACGATATCAGGATAGATGTCTGGGTACACCAAATTCCAGAGCCAAAACTACACTGATTTTCAAATGCTTCTCTCTTTCCATAAGGGTAAAAAAAATAGAGTTGGGAGAGGTATTTATATTTATAAACATAGATACCAGAAAATTGTTTTGTCACTATCTTTCATCTGGCAAAATTTTAAATATAGAGGAGAAGAACAGACCATAATGATAGATGAAAGCTAGAAGAGTGGAAACATACTGAAGAATAGCTGGAAGAAAGGGACAGCTGGGGGAGTGTGAGAAGGGAGTCAAAGAGACAGAGAAAGTCAACCTGTTTTGACGGAAGGAAACAGATGGGAGATGAGCAAAGACAAAAGGGGCCCTGTGGGTAGGTGTCATCAGTTAGAGGGCAAGTCACTGGAATTTGATCAATCGACAAGAATTTATTTACTGGACTCCTGGGCATTGTGGGAGATACAAAAGAATGTAGAGTTATTTTGGGAACAATAATGATGTAGACAAGACAGATGGCTTAAACTAGGACATTAATGCTGAAGGAAAAGGCTAGAGACAGAAGGCAGAAAGAAAGAGGTTAAGGCAATCCCCATGTGATCCAGCTTGCACATGAATCTGGAATTTTTGTAGGTATGAAAAGAAATAAATTAGAGGAAGTCCTGTAACTGCTATTGAAGCAAAGGTAAAGAATTTATAGATGGAAGGACAAAGATGACAAATAACCTAACTTTTTCTTTTCAGCTTTTGTGAATAATTAAAATGACTATTTATAAACTCAAACACACACACACACACACACACAGTACAGACAATGCCTTGTGTCATTCTTCCAAATGTTAAACATGCCCACTTAGCTAAGACTGGGTGGGGCCTGATGGATGTGACTAAGTCTGATTGTGCCTGATCACCTTGTAAGGAGCCAGGAAATCTTTCTGTCTTGGAGGAAATTGCAAGTAAGACTTAAAACATGCCTAAGGACATTTAGCAATGGCATGAAGATGGATTTGCATTTGTTGAAGTGAAAGTAATTAAGGTTGGTTGGTGCCAGTGAACATGTAACCAAGCTCAGAAGTAAGACAGACTTTAAGTCTTTCTCCTATATTGCAAGTAACAGACTCTCCTATGTGCACTCATTTATTCTGAAGTATTTATTGATATTTTCTGTAACAAAACATTAGCTACTAGGAGTCCTCCTATACACTAGGCTCTTTGCATGCATTGTTACATCAAATTCTCATAACAATAATATGCAGATGCCATATTATCCCCATTTTATAAAGGAGAAAAATGAAATTGGTTAAGTAACTTATCCAAGATTACACAGTCAGTAGGTGAAAGAGTAGGAATTTATACTCTAATCTGTTTTATTTCTTTTACCTTGTGCCACATGTTAGGCACTGAGGATATACAAATTAGGATTTGGCAGTCCTCACCCATAAGGAACATATAGACTAGCTGAGAGACCCAGAGCCAAGCAATTGTAATATGATTGCCATAAAGACATATACCAAATTTGCCTGGGAGTGTCAGAGACTTCTTAAAAATATACTTTAAGGATTGATAACCATTTCTAAGGTGATGAAAACAGAGATTCACTTCTCTTACATATAAAGTAATATATGCAAAGACCAAGAGGCAAAAAACCTTTGAATTATTTAGTAAAAACTCCACAGAGTTCAGAAGGATTAAAACATAACATGTAGAAGTACAGTAAAAGATGAGAAAAGCACTTGTATCTGAGGCTAAAGAATTTATATTTTATCTTTTGGGAACTGAAGAATCATCAAAATCAGTTCTGTGAAGAGTTTGATCAATAAAAGATTTTCTACACAGCTTTATGTCATAGGGTCTGTAAGGGTCTAAAAACTTAAGGCCTAGCAATGATCTAAAGGTCACAGCTAAGTAGCAATGCAGCCTTACAAATGAAGACTCCACTCAAATTTGATAGGAGGTGTTTGGAAGACAGCAGCATGCCCCAGAGGTTTCCTCAGTCATGAAAATAGTGAAAAGATTAGAATATAAATTTGCATTGAAGTACATTGGCTAGTGATTTCATTTGTACATTTGCTCATTCAAAACACACACACACACTCACACACTAGGTGGTCATAGTCTTGGTAGCAACAATATTTCAGTAACAATATCCCCAAATAATGGTGGATGACTTTTGAAATGACATGACTGATCTCTTAAAAACTGACTTCAGTTATGACATTAGTGGGACCTGTTAATAGATTTTTGGAACAACAGCTAAGTCTATTTGGAGAATGCACATAGAGAGTACCCTGGAAGATCTCTATCCTGGGCACACTAAGTGAACACAATTAACTTCACAATTTGACTGCTATCCTCAAGAGAAATGGAGGGTGTTCAGGGAACAACTACACTTTTTTATCCACCCAACAAAGGCCAGTTTCTAGGAGAAGGTAAATAGAAAAGTACCAATTGCACATATCCAAGATAATTGGACACACCCTTAGGTTTCAGAATTGACACACTTCCTCAATTGGATGAGATACCAAAAAAGACTAAAGTCATATATATATATATATATATATATATATATATATATATATATATATATATATATATATATATATATAAATGAATATGTAATGTAGTAAATGGAGGTTGTCATTCCTGCTACCAATTATCTATGTGGTCATAAACAAGCTACTTCCTTTACCTGGGTTTCAATTTTCTCATCTAAACCAGAAAGAAATTAGATCTGATGATCTCTGATGTCCCTTCCAATTATGATATTGTATTAGGATTCAAGATGGTTACTATCGACTTGCAGTTATAATGTGTAAATAATACATAAGATTTTCCTTTTCCTAGGAACTGCTGTATAAAAATGACCCAACAGATGCAGAATTTACATCTTTCCCAGTCAAAGAAGCACAGTGCCCCATCGTCCCCCAATGCTGCCAAACGCTTGTACCGGAATCTCTCAGAGAAACTGAAAGGGAGCCACTCCTCATTTGATGAGGCCTATTTTAGAACAAGAACTGATCGGCTGGGTCTTAGGAAGACCTCGGTGGTAACAACAAAACTCTTTTTAGTCTTCTGTCAATTAGATTTGTTTATTTATGTTTGGGTTTAAAGAAATTCTAAGATGATTCACATTCATTTCTGAAGCTCATATTTTTACAGTTTTATGCTGAAATAGAATCTGTCAAGATGGGAAGTGCACCTATCCATGATTGTGGACAAAGTATGAGTGATTATGAGATTTTTCCTTTCTTTTTCTTAACTTCTTTCCCTTTAATGTTTCTTTCACTACTAGACCAAAGAAACCAATCAAAAAAGTAGCTGTTTGACAAATATGGACTCTCAGGTTAAATAGTTTTTTTTTGAGAAGTCCAGTAATCATTCAAATAATAGTATTAATATTACTTACTTACATCTAATGTATAATCCACATGCTTTTCAAAGACATAAAATAGAATCCAGGCAAAGAATGCATATTTACTATATAATAGCTAGGAGTAGAAGGGATAAATAGCAAAAAAAAAAAAAAAGAAGACGAAGAAAGAAAGAAAGAAAAAGAAAATATATGATCTAGATAGGGCAGAGGGGTGGGAGGGGAAGGGAGAGGGCAGGGGGTTAGCAATGATGGTGGAATGTGATAGACATCATTATCCAAAGTACATGTATGAAGACATGAATTGGTGTGAACATACTTTATAAAAAAACAGAGATATGAAAAATTGTGCTCTATATGTGTAATAAGAATTGTAATGCATTCTACTGTCATATATTTAAAAAATAAATTCAATTAAATATTTTTAAAAAGAAAGAAAATATATGAGCATGAAAAGAGAAACACACATACCAAAAACCTAGGCAAATAGACTACATGAAATTTATTATGACACTTATCTTTGAGTTCTCAGGCAGTGAAAGCAGAAAAGGAAACAGAACTGGTTTTGGCATCCCATTAGCTGATAACTGAAAGTGTTATCAGTCCATCAAGAGAAATGAGTATTTTCCTGCTGCTACGTCATCTGGCCTGCATAGATGTCATAGTAAACTAGGTGACAACAAATAGCAAAGAGAAGTATTGGCAATACCGTAGATGTTCTCATATGGTAGTCTTCTATATCGGCCCTCAGTAAAATCTGAGCGCATAACATGCACATGTTCAACACAGGTATTTTTGCAAGGTTATAATGGCTCCATTTGTTTGAACTTAAAACAGAAGTGAGTCCTGACCTTTCCAGATAGAAGCAAGTTAGAATTTTCCAACAAAAGCATAGAGCAGGAAATGACTAAAGAATGAGGGTAAATATGGATCATGAGAAATCAGAAATACTAAGAATCAAAAACAAATACACACTATGGACAGGGCAGCATTTTAACTTTGAACTCATTTGTTTTCTAATACATTTTCTTGTTTCTAACTCATCTTCTGGGAGGGTTTGGCTGTGGTTAAGTTGCAGCCCAAGCATCAGGGACCTTTCAGTTTAGCAGATTGTGGACAAAACATTTTTCACTCAGCAGCTATTCTATAGCAAAGAGAACTGCATACAAAAATAGCTCTATTCCCTGGGTTCCCACTGTCAAAATGAGTATTTGCATAATCACTTCATATTTTCCTTAGTTTCCATTTTGTGGGGTGTACTCAGTTAAAGCCAACCAGCAGTCTTTGAGACAATCAATTTTTAATAAAACTTTTTAAAAATAAAAACTGCCCATCTAAACATTTGGTCACCACAGATCTTCCACATGCTAATCAGGCAACTATGGTGCTAGGTCAAGATCAATGGTATTTCAACATTTTAAAGACCAAGCAACTCTTGGAGCAGATACCAGATAAATATGTAAGTAGTGTATGTGTTGGTCTCTTCCTATGAGCTGCAGAAATGATGTAAGAGAATTCCAGAGCACTTCTTCATTGCTAATCCTTTGAAAGAACCATATTGTCCATAGATATCTTTTTCTGTAGCTGGCTTGTTTATTTCATTCTGGCCCTCTCAGGTCCCCAGTTAGTTACAGAGTCCCTGAAACCCTCCCTGGACATTGCCACTTGTACCCCTCACCACAGGGCTCAGAAATGCCAGGTGTCCAATGGTTGGGGCTCCAGGTTAAGAAAGTATGGAATTAGAGACCAAGAGGCTAGGAATAGGGGCATCAGCTCGTAGGCACTGGGAAGTGCTTAGTGATCTATAAACAGAGAAGTGACATGCAGTATGTATTATTATGGTTCAGATAAGAGGATCCCCCCAAATGTTCACATGTGAGACAATGCAAGAATTTTCAGAGGTGAAATGATTAGATTATGAGAAATAGATTGTGACCCAATCTGCGTATTGATCCATTTGAATGGATTAACTAAGCAGTAATGGTAGGCAGGCAAGGTATAGCTTATCTAGAGGAGGTATGTCACTGGTGGTATGTCTTTGGGAATATATTTTGTCCCTGATGAAAAGAATTCTCTCTGTTTCCTTGTTGCCACGTCTGGAGCCGCATTCCTCCACCATACCCTTCCACTATGATGTTCTGCTCACCTTGGGCCCAAAGCAACGGAGTTGGCCATCTATTGACTGAAACCATGAGCCCCAAATAAACTTCTCCTCCTCTACATTATTCTTTTCAGGACTTTTGGTTACAATGACCAAAAATTTACTAAAATATGTATATTTTAGGAAGATTATTCTTGTGACAGTACAGGAGACCAAGAGTAGCAGCAGATAGGTCACTGCCACAAGTCAAGACAAAGGATGATAAAACTTGCAGATGGAGAGGAAGGGGATGAGCTTGAAAGAAACTGTACTCTCCATATCAAACCAGCCCTGATTAAACTACATGTGCTAACATTATCTATGCCAGCATTCCCCAACCTGTGTTCTATAGCACACTATTCCAGGTGTAGGTAGAGCTAAATACAATAAAACACATGTAAAAATAATTGACATCAGATATCCTACAGTCAATAATTGAGTGACTTAGTTTAACCTAATGTTTACCATATTTATTTGACTATATGCTACTTTCTTCACAAGAACATCTTTTAATGACCTATCAAACATTATTCTTTCCACAGAGAATTGGTTTAAGATGTTTATTTTGTGCTTACTTACAAACTAGCACTGCTATACAGTGCAGTATTTTCTCAGTTCATCTACTTATAATATCTGTTCAATGCCCATTGGAAAGTAAGCAAAGACCACAAGAATGGGATCCTAATTAGAATAACTTATACTCCATGTATGTATAATAATTTGTCAAAATACATTGTACTGTCATGTGTATCTAAAAAGCAAATAGAAAGAAAGGAAGGAAGGAAGGAAGGAAGGAAGGAAGGAAGGAAGGAAGGAAGACAGGCAGGTCCAATCCAGTGTTTACTTGGTAGACCTTAGGATTAATCTTGGTTATGCAACTATCTGTATATAAGTGGGCACATAGTCCCTGAAGCAATCTTTAAAGTTCAGTATAGCTATGCCACAAAGACACACTGGTCTAGCAAACTATACTAACCTGCTTTCACTCTTCTCCAGAATTTCCAGGGCAACGAAGCCATGTTTGAAGCAGTTGAGCAGCAAGACATTGATGCTGTGCAGCTCCTCCTGTACCAGTACACACCAGAAGAGCTAGACCTCAACACGCCTAACAGTGAGGGACTAACGCCCCTGGATATTGCCATCATGACAAACAATGTGCCCATTGCTAGGATTCTTCTGAGGACAGGAGCTAGAGAAAGTCCACACTGTAAGTAAGCCTGAGAATAGAATTGCCTACTAGTAGAGCTAGATCTCTGCTTTAAACTACTGAAATAACCATTGCTGATCTTCCAAGTAAGAATGGTTGCCTACTCAAAGGCTCTGAAACCCTTTACAAATTTTCTGGACTTTCAGGCAAAGAGCAATTGTGTTTTTCAGTCTAAGCATTTAATTGCATTTTAATTCAATATGATGAATGATATTGAAAAGGGATAAAAGAATTTTATCCCAAGCTTTCAAGTATGTAAGATACTTCCAAAGATGATGCAGAGTAGGAGACACACATATTTTAAAAAAATGAGTACGTATGTGTTTCTGTTTCTGTATCTACAGTTAATGTTGTGGCTTCATTCATTCATTCAACAAGCAATGAGTGCGGGGAACTGTTCTAGGTACTAAGAGTACAGTAGTAAAAGAGAAAAACTGTCTCCTCCTAATGGAGGAGACTTCCAAAAAGCATGTAAATAGATAAAATGTAAATTCAAAGAGTGATAAATTCCATGAAAAAAAAATTTAATATTTATTTTTTTAGTTCTCGGCGGACACAACATCTTTGTTTGTATGTGGGGCTGAGGATCGAACCCGGGCCACACGCGTGCCAGGCGAGCGCGCTACTGCTTGAGCCACATCCCCAGCCCATGAAAAAAATTTTAATGAGTGGCTAGAGATTGATGGGAGGAGACCATATTAAACTTTTTACACAAGGAAAGCTTTTCTGGTTTGATGATATTTTAGTTAAGTCCTAGATAATATAAAGAAACTATCCATGAAAAGATGTGGGGGTCAAATTCTGGGCATATTGTGTAGAAAATAGAAAGATGCTGAGCAGGCAGGGATGAGATCAATGTATTGCAAGAATAAGAAGGCCAAAGGAGCTAGCAAAGTATCAAATGGGAACATAGTGGCCAAGGAAGAAGTCACTAGGACCCGACTGAGCAGGTCCTTGAGACCATGCTAAAATGTTTCACACTGATGACTGAATGGGATAAGAAGGTGGTGGAGCAGTTTAGGCAGGTATATGCCATAGTCTGCTGTCCATGAAAAGATCACAGTGGTGCTAGAGTCAGTACAGTGGCAAGGATGCTGTGAATGGTAAGACCAGTTAAGAGGCTATTGTAACAGAGAGGTAGACAGACACTGGTTTCTTTGACTAATAGGATCATGATGTTGGCCAGTGGCAGAATTCTAAACACACACACATGATTTATTAAGATATTATATATGTATAATAATATTATGTTATAATAAGCACATACATATATATGCTTTATTAAGATATAATCCTCACATCATATAATTCATCTGTTTAATTTGATTATCTTTAGAATATGCACAGTCATGAAGACATCACCACAGTCAGTTTTAGAACTTCATCATTCCCAAAAGAAACCTCATGGCCTTTTGTGACTGGCTTCTTTCTGAATCTGCTTCCAAGTAGAATCTGTGATAGTAACTGCAGAGGCAGCTGCTCAGGGGCCAGTGGCAGACCCTGCCCAGAATTGTACAGGTAATACCATATAGCATCAGTCTGTGCCAGGCACTATTCTGAGTTCTTTACATGTATTGACTCCTTTAATCCTCAAAACAACATTTTGGGATAGATACTCACATTCTCTTTGGTGCAAACTCTCTGACCTAATGACCACAGTGGCTCTCTGCCACTGTTTTTTATGTTTCCTAAAAGAAAAAAAGTAAACACTTCAAACTGTTAGTTTCTTTAATACTGCTTCACTTATTTCCAAGTAGGGAGACCCAAAAGGCTGAAAGAGAAGTAAATGACTATATAATTTGAGAACACATCTCTACTCCTACATTTCATAAACCACTACTACCCAAAGACTGGATATGGAGGCAGATCCTTATATCAGAAAATTCTTTATTTGAAAAATGTTAAGCTTACCACATCCATGTCAGAGAGAGTGAGGATTTGGGTTCAATAGTATTTGGGCTCCTCAAAAGCACTCCATAGTCAAAGTGCTGCTCCTTTTCTGGTGAAACTAGAGGTTTTGGAGGGATGGCAAATTAGGATGGAATAAATCAAAAGGTCACTTTTGTTGCCTTCTGATTCATTTGGCAATAATGTCTGTCCTGGAGACTCAGTGAGAGAGGGATGGAGAGAGAATCAGAAGGTCTGACCATGGAGAAAGCAGACTTAGCCCCATTCTATAGGAACAAGGGGACTATTCATCCAGAAGTTGCCTCAGCCGTCCTGCACTGGGTTGGATGAAACATTAGTCCTACTTACCTGAGACACTGTGGCGAATTCTGCATTTTTCCCTGAGAACAGTAAGACTTCTAACCTCCCAAAGCCCCCATGTGCATAAATGAACCTCCATAACTGAACTTGAGGAATAACTATCTAGTTAAGCCAAAAGCAAAGTTGTTCAAAAGGTCCCTATTTTCTCTGGGAAGATAAGCACATTATCATTACAAAGTTGCAAAGGACAGAGAGTGAGAGATAAGCCCAGGCTTCAGCTATGAAATATGACACCTAAGTCACCAGGACCACCCAAGAAGTCAAAGAGATAATACCACACATAGACTGACACATGTGTAAAAAAAAAAATGGCAAAGGAATATTGATTGAGAGCCTATGAAGTCTGCATACACAGTATCTCTGGTGTTTACATTTACCCATCATTATGATATCTCAATTCAATTTTGAAGATAAGAAATCTGTGATTCTTGCAGGTTATGTGACTGAGCAAAGGTCACACATCTAGCAACAAACAGGGATGTCAGGGACTCAAGTCCCCATCTGTGGGATGTCAATACCTGGGATCCTACACAAACTCACTGACTTTCTAGGTAACCAGTATGGAGGGCAGTGGCTACTAGAAGCCCACATCTTTCCCTGTGTGATGTTCCCTAAAATCCTATGGTGCATTTCTTTGTTCTGTTCTGTAACTGAGGTGCCATTTGTGTTGGAGATTAACAGGATAGAAGAACACACTGTTTTGGGGAGTTTTGATACTTTCTTTTTAAAAAAATATTTATTTTTTAGTTGGACACAATATCTTTATTTATTTATTTTTATGTGGTGTTGAGAATCGAACCCAGGGCCTTGCATGTGCTAGGCGAGTGCTCTACCGCAGAGCCACAACCCCAGCCCAGTTTTGATACTTTCTATACCAAGTCCAAAAGAAATAGAATTGCTTCTGTTCATGAGTATGAGCTTGCCCAAGAGAAAAAACAGCCACAATGTTATAAGCAAACACCTGCTACAAGCCATTCCCAAGAAGTGGGAGAAACAGGATATAAGAAAAACAACAATGAGACCTTGAGTTCTTATACTGTTTTTACACACAGAAAAAAAAAATGCTTTTGTCTACATCTTCTTACCTGATCTCCGCAACTGGCTTGTGAGGTAGGAGTTGTTTTTCTAATTTTACCAGCAAAAAATAATAGAATAAAAAAAAGTTAAATAGTTTACCTAACATAAAGAAGCTAACAGGTGGTGGAGTCATGATTTGAACCCAGGTCATCTGTACCCAGTGCTTTGGTATTTGTAGAAAAGCTTTAGCAAATTCACTGTTATACAAGAGATGTTCAGTTCCTTTCTTCCCTGGTTCTCCATCTGCTCCTCTAATGACTATCAAATATTTCAAAACAGAGAAAATGGTTTCTAATATAGCTAATTTTATTTACTTACTTCCCCTATGCATTTCATTCTGAAAACTAGCCCTATACTCTTTTCACTATGCCAACCAAGGATCCTAACACAATTCAGAAGAAAGTCCTCTGTAAAAAGAATCACAATGACACAGTTTGGTTTAGGGATTTACTTCCAAAGCCACTGGTCAGACCTGCCTTTAGCCCCTAGATCACAGAGCTAGATGGAGGTATTCTTTACAAACATGGCTTTATACTCAACCAGGCACATTTCCTTACTCATAAGAAAAGCCCAAGAAGCTGCCATCCACAGCTGCATATTCCTCTGAGGTTATATATAGAACCCCAGCCCAATGGTTAGATGAATTTGCTATCTTTATCCAGTAACTGTCTTCAGTTCCTCCCACCTGCAAGCAAGTAACACAAAGTACAGCCATCCCTCATTATCCAGAGGATATGTTCCAAGACCCTTAGTGGATGCTTCGAACTACAGATAGCATCAACCCCTATACAAACTCTCTTTCCTATACACACATACCTATAATAAAGTTTAATGTATGAGTTAGGCACAGTAACAGATTAGCAACAACAATAACAAAATAAAACAATTATAAAATAAAGTAAAACAATTATAATGATAAAACATCATTACTATTGTATTTTGGGATAATTATTAAGTAAAATAAGGGTTACTAGAACAAAAGTACTGCAGTATCATGACAACTGATCTGATTACTAAGACCATTACAAAGTGACTAACAGGTGGGTAGTGTATACAGCATGGATACAATAGGCAAAGAGATGATTCTCATTCTGGTGGTATAGAGCAGGACAGTATGAGATTTTATCACACTACTCAGAACAACATGTAATTTAAAACTTATGAATTACTTCTGGAATTTTTCATTTGATATCTTTGGACTACACTTGGCCAAGGGTAACTGAAATTGTGGAAAGTGAAACCAGGAATGGGGAGCTGACTACTGTAATACTCATATCCACAGAAGCAAACATCAGCCATTATTGAAGTAGAATCCCAAGTACTACCCTGCAGACTGTGGTGCTGAGCCTAGGAAACAGGCACAGAATCTGAAAGAAGGGATCACAAGACACCTGCAGCTATGCCACTGAGGATTTCCCAGTCACTATGATTCATGATCAATTGAACAGCTGCTATTTGAGAAAATCAATATATCTCTGTATAAAAACCCCCAGTCACACACTCCTCCCTTTTTCTAACTAACTCATATTTTGCCCCTACCCTGCAATCACAGTTCAACAGTCTCCAGGCAGAATTGCTAAATTATCAATGAGGGCCTTGCCTTTCTGAGGCTGCCATTGGTTTGGCATCAGTAAGGTCTTAGAAACACTAAAGAA